AAAATTTAATGGATTCGCGGGTCCTATAGACAGCGGGTCACTGATTAAAAAATCCATTCTTGCACGGATTGCGGATTATGGGTCGTTTTCTGAATACGGATTTGAGTTGAAATTAATTGCGGATCGGCGCAGATTTGGGCTTAAACTTGCGCGGATCGACGGATTTACTTACTCTTGTGATAACTGTATAACAAATCGCTCTCCCTTTTCACTGTCAATGCGATGATAAATCACTAATATAGGAGTACGAAATTAAAACATAATAATATAAACCGTGTCAGTTATCGACCGCCAGAAACTTACTACTCCAGCAGCAGTCAATTTCATTTCTGTTGGAATCGAACCAACTCCCTTTTACAAGGGAAGCCATCAGTGAAATGTTCATTTAGTGATAAGAATAAAAGTCGCGCGCCTACAGAAACGTCCCCTTTACAGCTGTATCTACCTACCTCGTAGTTGTGCTATTTCTTTCATTACTTGTGGGACCTTATTGTCTGTATAGAATGAAAGAAAATTTCTCATTTCCAACAGTAAAAGCTGTATTTCTTCATCCCATCTCTGACTGCGYTCTGAAAGATYCACTAATCGAGCTTTCACTCTAATAGGTGTCTCTACAAAATAAAATACATGTGTGTATACAAGATAAATTGAAACAACAGCTGATTAAATGCATAAGAAAGTAAAAATTACCACCCAAGGATGAGTCCCATGTAAAATTTCCCTTTTCCACATCTTCCAAAGCCACTTGACTGCCAATCTTCTTCTCGTCGACCAATGTGTTGTATTCGTCTACGAGACTTTTAAGTTTGCTTTTATGGTTAAGCATGTTCTTGCGTAAACGGGTGCGTTGTTTGGATGTTGCTTAAAATACAAGGTAAATCAATCAAACAATCAAACCATCAATCAAAACAAAGCAACCCGTTCGAGTTTATTGTGGTAATAAAACACAAACCTTCCTCGGTATTGACGTAATCTAGCCTGTGTATGTAAAGAAAGTAAGAAGTCGGCATAACAGATTTCAGTGTTCATTTACCTGCAAGTTTCCCAATCGACATAGTCGTTTGTACAATGGAGAAATGTGTCATTTCTATTTGTCTTTCGAACGATGCCAACTCTTTTCTTTCACTATAGTTATGGATCATTTGCGTTTCTGTTGGTATATAATCGAGAATACAATGTAAAAAAATGTGCAAAAGTTTCAAATCAGAGGTCTTGCATGGTAGGTGTGAAATGTCATACCTTTAGCATTCTGAATGACTTCATTTTTCCAAGTGTCTATTTGTGTCTGTTGCACGTCAAAATCAACCTCTTGGAGAGCCTTGTGCAGAGCATTTGATGACTCTGATTTCATTTTTACAGCCTACAGAGTTAAGCAAACATTACTGGTGGCCATTATCASAAAATGTACGTTAATGTAATTGCAGGTATAGTGAATTTACACGTTCAGAATATTAACGATTTTCAACGTAATGATTGTATTACATACTCGCACATATCGTTGGTATAAGCTATCGACCATTTTAAAGATTTTCCTTCTGTTCCATGTCAAAGCATGTTCTGTGAGAAGCTCATCACGACCTTGATAAAGAAAACCATCAATGGCCCATATATATTACTATTTATAGGTATTATTACAGCAAAATGTCCTTTTAAAATCGTGTTGCCTAAAGACATTTTCCTTTTCGCTGTGCATACTAGATGTGTATGTTTGGTTTTTGTATTTACTGAACTATGACTTTTTAGCTTTTTAAATCTCAGTAAGTTTTGATAAAAAGAAAATTACATGTCCGCTTGGACAAGCTTGGAGACACGAGTTTTATCTTCTCGTGTTGAAAATATCTCACTCGTTCGTTGCGCTCACTCATGATAAAACTCATCTTCGCACGGCCATGTAATATYCTTTATACAAATATCATTATAGGTTTCTTCAAGACTATATTCAACGTGACAACAATAATGGATTTCAATAGTACTTCAGACTTCGGTTAAATCGGTATATAGCTTTAAGAGTAGAGTGCACGCACTAAAACCGTGAACATTAAATAGTACTAATTGGCACTATTTCATATAGAATCCTTTGTTTCCTATTGTTTAATTATCACTATTTAGTGCTAAAAATTAGTATTTGTTTCACGGATTAAGTGTGAGCACTCTAATATCAATAATCTATTATGAACTAACATTTGGTAGTTTGCACAATAAAATCTATACCCTACTTACATTCAGGGAGCATATACTTCGTTGTATTTCCACATCGTGACATGTATGAATTGATTTGTWCCACTTCTTCTCCAGTTGTCCATGCACTTCCATTTTGCCAACGTCCTCCCCATATTATCTAATGTAAATGTTATCGATCAACAAAGAAAATGTTAGTTTATCATTAAGCACCATTTCATCATTAACATTATGTCAAAAGCTTGATTTTTTACATAAAAGAAACCCACCTGGCAAGACCAGCTATGTGCTTTGGCATGCATGACAGACAATGCAGGCTTCATTTTACCAACAAGAATGCCTCTGTTCTTAGCCCATTTCCAATAATTGCAAACAACATCCTCCCAAAAATAACTAACATTGGCTTGGTGCATTCTTTTTTCCTGTATGAAGTGTGGATATCCATAGATTTCCCCCCGGTACATATTCACTGCCCATTGYGCAATGCCATGGCGACAACCTGCAATTTCTAAACCAGTCTCGTCTAAATTCTTCATTTTTTTCATTCTGTTGCTAGCAGCTTTCCAATGAGACTCACCACAGGTATTATCGTTCTTGTCCTGAAGCAAAAATACATTTGTGTATTTATATTCAACTGAATATCATTACTACAAGTGATTATTTTCGCTACATGTAACTGTATACATAACTGAGGATAATATATCATATGTGCATTATTCTACTCCTTTTCCTTACTTTTTCTACTCCTCAACTCTTTAAGAATCCTGTTGAGGCGGGACTTGTCTCCCATGAAAAAAATACACTTTTGCTTAGTGCAGTAACATTGGAATGTTTCTCATGCCAACAGGATTTTCCTCCCTCATACAGGAATGAATTCAAGAGCAGAGCATGTTTATGGAAATAAGATCATGAATGTAGAGGCTGTGAGTGTGAGAGACTTTAAATGAAGAAGCACTAAAAATATGGATATATTTTAAAGTAAAAAACAACAGTGCAGTGGCATACAGTATGTATGTTTTTTGATCAATTGAAACTTCGGCCCCGTCTACACGTATCCGCAATTTTTTTTAAGGATCCAGGTTGTGTGCACACGTGTCGACAAATTTTTGTGTCTGTATCCGCAAATTTTACAAAAATGGATACGTGTGGAGGGTAAAAACGATTCGAATACGCTGCGTGTGGACGCAAACATTTTCGTATCCGCAAAAATATAATTTGTGGATACAAAAATTTCCGGATATGTGTGGATGGGGCCTTAAAATACTTTCTTAAAGGTACCTTTTCCTTTGGTTGCTTTGAATATATTTTGCTGACGTGTTCATCCACCTCTATTTTATTTGCAATAAAAGGATCCTCATAAAAAGTGAAAAGTGAATATTTATATATACATAAAATGACATTAATAATATGGGACTTATTGCTTAGAAGGTCTTACTTACTGGTAAACAAGCATTAATCAGATTTGAATTTTCAAGGCTTGCAATCTAAAAAAGCCTTAATTAGCACTAGTCACAGTAGTAGCTTCAAAATTACCTTCCAGATCTTTTATAGTGGTAGAGCTTCATGTTGCCATCCACATGGCATGAATRCTGGTTGACTGCACAAGGAGGGCATTTCATCCAGTCAAGTTTCTGTAACAATGACAACTCATGCTGGCAAAATTTCCACTTCCGAAACGAGCGAGTAAAAGTTGTGGAGTTGATACTTGGTGCCTACAATAATAATCAATTATATTTATTGGCTGCCCATTTGAATAAAATACCATAATATAAAGTATGTTTGAGAAATTTCTCAGGCACATTAAATTGATTATAAGAATGATTTAAGAAAACTGTACCCTTGCTTTTGAAAAGGAAAAATCTTCTAAGCCTTTGATAAAAGATGATTCTGAGGTGCCAGGCATTCTCTTTTGTAAAGAGTCCCAAAGAAAGAATAGATCTTGGTGGAAAAGATAGTTGGGATCATTTGGACTTCCAGGCCAATATCCACAATGGATTATTGTAGAAAAAGATAGTGACAAGGTATCCTTTCCACAATTTCTACATCGAAAAGATGGCTTTTTGAAGTCAAATCGTCCTGAATTTAAAAAAAAGTTTGTGATCTATTAAGAATATCAAATTYCACCATTTGAAGTGGTATTCCACAACACAACTTTCATAGAGTGGTAGAGTAGAAACAGTGTTTTCCCATTATTCGTCACTAACATATCAGTGAAATTTTCTATTAACAACACATACAAAATGGCATACCAGGAAGGATGTGGGCTATTTCTATAACAGTAATTAATTATTGCAATCAACCAATAAATGAGCAATTTAAGTGAATKCTGTATGGAAGAGCGATAGAAGTGGTCACAATTTTCATACCTTTCTCATTTACAATGATGAGAATGCAGTTACTATCACTATCAAAGCACTCTTCCAAATTCACATCGGTACAAAATGAACAGCATGAAGGCTTAAAAAATGATGGACTTTTGTCTGTGTATAAAGTGTAGAAGACATTGATGAGTATAATTTATAAAAGGTATGTTAAGTACAATTTAAATGTTAGCCTGCGTAGCAGTCCGCTAAGTCTTCTTAGAGGGACACTACTATACACAGGCTATTAAAATGCATATGTGTAAATGCATATGTATGCATATTACTTGAACAAATTAGACCAAAGTGATATTGATATTAAGCTAAAAATATGTATGCAATAGTTTGTATGTATTAAAACTCAAATTTTAAGTACTTATTGGTATAGTAGTTGGGACATAACTCAAACAAAATCCTGAACCCACACTTGAAATATGACTTGTTCAACTTACTTATTGTGACAAGATCGCCATTGTCATTGACAGAGGTCGTTGGCGGAACAGCTTGGAAAAAACCATTCACCAACACATCTCTATCATGAAATGCATTATGCTCGTGAGCAATCAAATCACAGGCTGTGCAAAACCTCCTACCATGGCATGAATAGCACCTTATCTTGCATGTATTTTGAAGGCACAAGCAACATAATTGCTTTTCTGTGGCTTCYTCAGCAACAACAGCTTCCATTATTTGGGGCCTACAGTTATCCCAGTTTTCATTTAAAGAATTCATCCTCCCATCCCATGTCTGATGGCATTTTGGGAGAGAATCTACAATCTCTTGACATCTTTTTATAGTCTCTTCTAGACTTTCATGGTGGTCATGATCTGTTCAATTAATAAAAATTAAAATACTAAATTTTGATTATCATTTTGTTGTCCAACCAAAAAGTTTCTGAATCAATTAAAATAATCATTTTCAATTTCATTTTAGCGATTACAAGAAATAAGCATACACTAAATCTATAATTATAGGCCAGAGAGTAAGAAAAGCTGACAACAATTAAATAAACTTGAACAAATCTTTAAACGTTTATAATCATGACAGAGCTATATAGATACCTGCTTCGACATCTTCCTGTATTAATTCTAAATCATCATTTTCTTGTTGTACAGTAAGTGTACTACTGCAAGCTTCTTAAAGCTAATATTAAATACTATAAGCTTGATTTAAAATCGATTTGTATAGTCCACATAAGAACGGAAATAATAAATATTTTATCAACACATCTATCAAATATTTTATGTATCTGATATAGAAGCTCAAAATCGGCACAAAAATTTCTAACAAATTTACCCACCATTGGAAGCCGGATCCAAACTCGATTTAAAACGTGGCCTGTACGTATACTTTGATTCTCTTAACCCTGAAGGTTTAATGTGAAACTCAAAGTGGCAATCCTTTCGTGGTTTCTTTGGCTGAAGTTTATCTAGTAAAGCTTCAGCCTCTGCCAGTAAATCATCCTCACCATCACTAGTACTTTCCTTTTTCTTCGTCGCCATTTTGTTGGATGAATGGGGTCTAGTCTCTCTCTGCTCATGTCCCGTTTACCAAATCAACGACTATGCTTGATTTGAGGAGATTTGACATTCAATGATTGTCATTGATTTGGCTAAGAGGTTGTGTTGATCAGCTAATCCCTTGCACCACTAGACTTGCTCCCAGTCTCGCTCGTTATTTTTTCCTCTGGCGAGTCGTCAAATTCAAATTTCGGCACTTCGGGTTCCGACAGATTTCCGAAGGGAATGGCAGAAAAAAAAAAGAAAAGCGAGCGAGACTTGTAAAACTCGGCATCTCATTAATATTCGCGGACAGGATTCTGTCCGCTGACGTAATATATCGACTGATTCTTAACTAATGAGGAGCAAGAACATGAGAGACCAAATCTATGTCAGGGGGGAGTCGCATTGCACGACTTTGTCATTTATCCTCGGCCATTGGTAAAATTTGATTTGGTTCTTGTATTTATTAGTCGAAAAGTTATGGGGGAAAAAGCCATCGAAGCAGTTAAGAATGTTCTAAAGCTAGAAAATCTTAGTGAATTATCAGACGGAAGCTATTAGCAGTCTTCTTGATGGAAAAGATTGTTTTATTTCGCAGCCAACGGGTTCAGGAAAGACCACTGTATATCAGTTATTCCCGTTTGCTTTCGAAGCATTCCAATGTAAAAATGATGTGGATTTTGAATCAAAATCACAAGAGATTGTCTTATCCAAGACCACAAAGTGTAAAATCCTCGTCATCCAGCCTTTGATTTCCATGATACATGCGAGATCAGTTGTGAAAATTAAAAAATTTAGGAATCAAATCCTGTCGGCTTCATTCAGATTACGATAAGCCATCTGCATGCTATTACATGATTTTTAAGGCTTAACGTATGCTTTCATGTCCGTGGCATGAATAGTCACTAACAAATAATTTTCGATCTCAAGTCTTTTTATTATCAGAATTGAAAAGCCGAATGATTTTGTCTTTTGGCACTTTGTAGTGGCTGGCTATTTCTTTTACACAAATAATACAGCAAGTACTCCCAAAGTTCTCGAATTCAGGCTGTATAGCTTTTCGGTCCCTCCCCTACACTGGCTAGCATTGGCTCACGCCGACGCGTATGCCCCCTGGAAATGCAAACGGCACATGTCAATCAAAGCTCCCGCCAACTTGTCGAATTTTAATGAGATGCCGAGTTTTACAAGTCTCGCTCGCTTTTCATTTTTTTTTCGGTCATTCCCTTCGGAAATCTGTCGGAACCCGAAGTGCGGAAATTTGAATTCGACGATTCGCCAACGGAAAAAACGAGCGAGACTTGGAGCAAGTCTATTGCACCACCTGCCACGCACGCGGAATCGATAGAAAATTTGATGTCTAGTCTATCTGGTGATTGTTTTCACGACCATTGTTGTGTTAATTTATTGGAATCGTTGGCCAGTACAGTGAGTCAAGCCCGGTTGAGCGAGGTTTAATAGTACCTTGATGGGTGACTTGAAACTTATACAATCTTTTTACTTACTTTTTTTTCAAATTCATGCGAAGCATTTAGAATTTTACCTGTTTGGTTCGCAATTCCTCATAGAGTGAAGACAAAATCAGTTGTTCAAAACCTGACCGAGAGAATGAACCATTGCAGGTCAACGAATAGCCTGCGTGCATCCGAGCACAAACTGTTGGTCAGATTACCTAACCAGAGTTTGTGTTCACATTCCCGCAGTCTAGTCAACAAAAGGACTGCTTCGATTTCGAAACTAATTACTTAGAGAAGATGACTGAACTTTTGTGATAAATTACATCATAGTTAATGGAGCGAAACTGTTTGGAAACTCCATAGAACAAAGCTATTGTTTTGCGTTTGATGTTGAACCATACCATCACGTGATACTGACCCTGCACAATGAACCAAAGCAACTGGCTGAAAATACTCATTTCCTTATTATTTTCATGTATTAACACTTTGAAAGTGAAAACTTTCATTCGATGACCACAAACCATGCGGATAAATACTTCCGCGCAGATACAGTTAAGTTACTAGATGATAAATAAGAAAGTGTGAAAAAAGGCAATTTCCTTTTCAATAAACAATTTGTATTAATCATATAGGATTAAGTAACAAATAATACGTATATTTTAGAACGTTTTTTAGGGTTAAAAACTTCTATATTGCCGAATACTATGAACAAACGGAGCAACCGTTTCCTTCACTGTGCACCGTCAACGTCATATAACAATGGATAAAGTCGAACAAAAACATCACAATAGGTTTCCCCCCCCCCAAAATCTAAAGCAAATCATTATTTTGTTGTTCATTTTTCCCATTACAATATTTTTCAACTTTAAAAGAAAAAAATTTTTAATGTTGAAAATTTTGAAAAAAAGTTATTCTTTGATTCACCGATGACCCTATTGAGTAGGGATCGAAACTGCTTCTGTAGAAAGTTAAAACATACGATTGTTAGCCAAAAAACACTTGAATTTTTGAAGATTACTTCTTGATCCATCTTCGACTAAATAAAACAAAAAAATGGTCAATGCTTTTGTTCTTGTATGCTCTCGCTGTTCACAGAATTGAAATTGTTTCTTATACTTTGATCGAGGGTCGTAAGCACACACGTTTTGGCGCGAGAATTCCGTACAAATCTTCAGATAGCCCAAGAAAGAAGGAGAAAAGAAGTAAACTCTACGATTTTAAGTCAAAGGTTTCTTTGTGTGTTCCCATATGACCGCAGCAATTAGATCAGTGAGCTGGCGCTATTTACGTTCTTCTCTATCTAGCTTTTGACAAGACCAGCAATTGCAGCCATTGTCGGGACCGCAATGTCCATCACAGCAAGAGCACGATAGAATACGTCGTCCACAGTAGTAAAGACCCGTTTGTCCTTTCTTCGCTGGTACCCCTGCACTATTCACTTTTACTGCAGAGTGTCCATCTGATTCAATGATTTTTGAGCCACCGGAACCGGAAACATAATGGTTCTCTGTGACTGCTGCTATTTGGTACTGAGTAAGTTCCAATGATTTCTGTGCACTACTTGAAGCATCTTTTGCCGTTGGCGGCCCTATTTCACCACCTGCTGCAACCTTTCGTAGTCGGTTAATAACATGATACAATTTTTCCAAGAGGTTGGCATCTTCTTCAAGGGTTTCACTGGCTTCACTGATTTGATCTCTTCCAATCGATTTACCCAATTCATAAAGAGCTATTTGTGGGTCAACTCTAAGGTTATCCAGCACTCCAATTTGGACAACGTAGCTAAAGGCATTCCTGAACTTGTCTCTCAGTCCATGTGATCCAAACT